CCCAGGAAATGGGGTCAGGCGCCTGTGACTTGGAGGGCGCCTCTGTGCCGACACCATTCTGCCCGCGACCGCAGCGTAAGGGGGGCTGTTCCCGAAGCGGCCTCGGCCTCTCCTGCGTTTCTCAGCTCCTCTCGCCCTGATCCCGCAGCCCCCACAGCCTGAGTCGTGCACCTGGCTTACAACGCGCCCTGCGAGCGGAAGCCAGCCAGGACGGAGCCGTGGAAACCCGCGGTTCCAATGGTCCGCCCGGTGGGGGCACACCCTTCCCCTGCTCCTTCTTACACTCGCGGGCACACACGCGCACGCGCACACAACAACAGCACTCCTCCGATTTCACATGGTGCGTGTCTGTACCTCCGAGGATGATAAACTCAGCTTCATTTGGAATTCATTCAGCACACTGGCCAGTTTCTCATAGTCGCTGGTGCTCTGATAGAACTTTTTTCTGTGAGGCTTGTTTATATCCAAGAAATCCACAAAGACAATTGAGTCGTCCATCAGTTTTTCTTTGGTCCAATTAATCTATTGTAAGATCATAATTAAATATCTGTTAAGAGCAAAATTCTACTTGTTATGAAAACGAATGTAATATATCTACTCCGGAGAAGCTCTGGGCACAGTCGATCCGGGGGTTCTTCACCTTTTTGCGCCACGGACCTTTTTAGGCCGCGAGGCCTATGCAGCCCTTCTCGGGACGGTATTTTAAGTGCAGAGAGTAACATACAGGGGCTGCAAGGGAAACCACACGCACTGATGTGGACTTCCGTCTACGGTCTCCCTGAAGGCCTGCGGGCCCTAAGAGCCCCTGTTGTGGAAATAGCAACTTGAAGTCTCACCAACAATGAAAAATAAAGACTCTTCCCTTATTCGTGTGTTAAATACCACCGTGCAGGGGCGCCTGGGTGGCGCAGTCGGTTAAGCGTCCGACTTCAGCCAGGTCACGATCTCGCGGTCCGTGAGTTCGAGCCCCGCGTCGGGCTCTGGGCTGATGGCTCAGAGCCTGGAGCCTGTTTCAGATTCTGTGTCTCCCTCTCTCTCTGCCCCTCCCCTGTTCATGCTCTGTCTCTCTCTGTCCCAAAAATAAATAAACGTTGAAAAAAAAATTTTTTTAAATACCACCGTGCAGCTGGTAGCAGGGGTGGGGGCGGGGAACAGTTCTAGGTCACGACCGCGGTGGTGGTTTCGCAAACCAATCCACGTGATGATGGTTCCCAGACAAACTGCAATCTCCCCGCCTCCACGAATGCTTAATTAAACGCTTGGCGATTCCAAATAAAGTCTGCAGTTTAGTCGACAACGACACCATCCCGTTCCCCCGGGGCCAGCTCCTATCTTTCGTACCAAGGTCACGGGCTACCTCCCCTTGGAAGTCGGACCATGTCCTGCTCCCCTAAAACTAGGGGGAGGGAGCATTCCTTCTTGGCCCCGTCCTCGCGGCATGTGCGTGGACCTGTCTCGGCCCTTCCAGAGACACGCCCCCCGCGTGGGGTCCCGGCACCGCCGTCAGGTGGTGTCCGGCACGCAACTTCCTGACAGGCACTCGGGAGACAAGGTCGAGGTTCGGGTTCCGGGGGCACCTGGAGGCAGCTACCCTGGGTTTGGAGGACCCCACCACCTAACGAGCTCTGTCACCTCGGACAAGCTCCCAGCCCCTCTCCGCCTCAGCGTCTTCATCTGTAAAGTGAGGGTAACAATGGAACGTACCTCGCAGGGATGCCTTGGACACCGTCTCTGAAAACAGGCGCGCTCCCAGCGTTAGCTGCTGTCAGCGTCACCGCATGTTGTTGTTTAAAAAGCCAGCCAGCCGACCAGCTGACGGACTGATACTGCATACACCCTCATTCGCACGGGGGTAACTGGTGACCTTCTGTCCTTCGGGAAGGTTTGTTACTCTGTCTTTAACTTGGGGCACCGCAGCTGTTGCGGCCCGCCACAGGGCAGGAGTCTAGGGCAAACTCGTGTCCTACCCCCTCTACAGCTATTGCTTGGTCTAGCAAAGTCTTTTTTTTTTTTTTTTAAGCTTGTGAAATAAATAAATAATAAATCATAAATAAAACACGACACAGAGAGAGACAGAGAATCCCAAGCAGGCTCTGCACTGTCAGCATTGAGCCCCACACGGGGTTTGAACTCAGGAACCGTGAGATCGTGACCTGAGCCGAAATCAAGAGTCAGACGCTTAACCCACTGAGCCACCCAGGCGCCCCCAGTCTAGCAAAGCCCTAAATCCGAACTGCAGTCGGCATCTACAGGAGAGAGTTTAGGAACTTCACCAGGGGCAGGAATGGGCTCTCTTTAGGTAGTTATTTTAGCAAAGTTTCTGCATCCTTTCCTTCCCACCCTTCCC